ATTCATTATTTTCATCCATTTTTACCTTTCCTTTACATACAGATATTTCTTAAATGCGTTTTTTGAGTTTGTCTACTATGTCTTCAAGCTGAATGATATGTTTATCCTAAACAATAAGTGCTTCTTCCTTCAACTCTAAGTTATCTTGATACTTCCCAAGTTCAACTAAGGTGGACTGACACTCTGCCCTCAATGACTCTATCTCATTCTCATGTGAAATAAGATTTTTTTCAATATAGGAGATATACCATTCACATGCCTCTATCTCCTTTGTAAGTTTACGGATTTTCTTCTTATTGGAAATATTATTTGTTTCCTTTTAAACTAGCTGTTTACACAAATCGAAGTTGCTATTTAATAGATCAAGATATATTTGTTCAACTCCCATTGATTCCTATTATTCTGATAGATTCTGATGAAGTATGAAATGTAAAAATGACTTAAACTTTACACAGAATATTATACCAACCATCTGGATATCAACGGACTGCCAAAAAATTATATAAGACATCACAAAATGCAGGACATGATTTCACCTTAGATGAAGTGCAAGATTGATTTGAAAGACAGGCAGTACATCAAGTCCACAAACCTCATTCCTGATTTATCCCTCGAGTAAGTTTCAGTTCTATATAGATTCCCAATGAAATTCATCAAGCTAACATTTTATATATGCCATATGATGAGGTTGGACATGTAATTTATCTTTTCTATCTTAATATAGTTAATATAGTATCAACCAGTGTTAAAGATCAACAGGGAAACTAACTTTTTATACTATTGCTCAAGCTTTTAAAAAAGTATACTATGATGATACAACATATTCGCTCACTTGGCCAAAATTATTGATTACAGATAAGGATTTAGAGTTTAAAAGTGAATGTGAAAAGCTAATGACTTTCCATGATGTAAAGATTCAAAAGGCTAAGTCTAAACGTACTGTTGGCATTGTAAAGCGATATAATCATACCTTAGTTGTAAGGATGGCCCTGAAATTGATTTGGCAAAAATCTGAAATCTGAAATTCTAAATCTAAAATTTAAAATTTTTCCAAAATTAATTCATAATTTCGGCCAAATTCATAATTCTGGCCAAAATTAATTCATAATTTCAGATGAATTCGTAATTTCAGCCAAAAATCGTAATTCTGGTCAAAACGGATATATCGATCAGTTCCATATTTGAAGGTCATCTAAAGGGGGTAAATTACGTGACTTCGAAAAAAATTGTTTTTATAAAATAAAACTTTTTACCATATATTCAACCATTCCAAATATATATCTTAAATGCATTTTTACATGCTCTGCGTAGGGTTTTGAATGCTGTTTTTGATTTATTTAACTTTTTTTAATTTCATTATTCATTTTTGGATATGATCAGCAAAGTTTCATTCATTCATATGTAAAGTCAAAAACAATATTCAAAATCCACTTTTTTTCCTTAAGTAAACTTGCAAAGCAGATAAAAATACGCTTATATTATGATTTTAAAGTTTCTATTAATCTTTCTTTATAAAAAATTAATCTAATTAAAATTACACTGAATCACGTGATTTGTCCTGCTTTAGATGACCTCTATATTTGGCGATAGCTGTTCCATAAAAATTAATTTGGTAGGAACAAATATGGAATCTTGTATAATATTGATTTTCATTTTAGGAAATTCTATAATTCCTACTGGAATTAAATGCATAATTCTGGCCAAATTTACATATTTAATTTTGGTATTTCAGCTGGAATTTCAGATTTCAGAATTTTGGATTTGGCTGGAATTACAGCTACAGTTCCAGAATTTTGGCAAATCTGAAATATTTCAGTTTCAGGGCTATCTTTACTTGGTTGAGAAACTATTTTCATCTCAAGATGCATCTGACTTACTAACTTTAGGCAAAGCGAGATCTCAAGTCTGGATAAAAAACTTACCTATTGCTGTAGAAAGTATAAATAACTCAGTAACCAAACAACTTGGTATATCTTCTACAGATGCCATCAAAAAGAGGCGAGTAAGTTCTAGTCCTTCTTATCCTCGTAATGGACCTGTTGGATATGAAGAGGAGAAACTACCACTAGATATACTAAGTGTAAGGTACTTACTTAAGTCAAGTAATCTGAAAGGTGGAAAACATCAAGCAAAGGATATGAATTAGTCACCTAAGATTTACCATATTCATAGTATATCTTTAACACAAAAAAATCAACCAGTCTTATACTGGCTTGTTGATAATGATAGTATAGAATCAAAGAGATCCTTGGTGAGGAAAGAACTTTTGGTCATACCAGATGATATAGAACTTCCGCCACAGTGGGTGCTTACAAATTAAAATACTGATATTATTTTATACAATTATACTTATTGAAAATGATCAGAAAATATACTTGCGAATATTTACATAATACAGGAAAGCCTTGTTATCGTTCTTGTATGAAACTTGAAGGATGTCGTTTACATTGGAAGACAAAACCATGTATTCCATGTGCCATATATGGAAATCTACAGGTACGTCTAGTGGTCAATGTCAAATTTATATTGGAAGCTATTATTAAAACCAATATCTCAACAGACTTAAAGAATCTTTAGCAGCTAATAAACATTAGTAATCATCTATCTATCTGGAACAGAATCTCGGCAAAACATTTTTATGATCACCCCAGACTGAGGTTGCAGGCGAAACCCCATAGTAAACGTAAAACTTGACAAAACTATATTAAAATATTAATAAAAATTTGGCAAAACTTGACTATAAAAATCATATGAAATGACAAAACTATAATAAACTCTTATAAAAAAATTGATGAAACTGAGGTTTAGACGTTTTGCCAAATTCAAAAACCAGTTTAGCCCGCAACTTTACTCCAGACACATATCTATTGCATCTGTCACATCTATTACATCACGAGCATTATGAGCATCACAAGCATACACCTTAGACACGTACCTATGACATACTCTCAAGCAGTTAATCACTATGGGTAGTTACACCCAATTTTAGGAAGACTTTTTGTATGTCTATTTTCATGTAAACTAAAAGAACACAAAGGATCAATGGAGCCAATCCTGCTATATATTTTTGGGAAGACTTTTGGTAAGACTTTTAGTAAGACTTTGCTGTCCCAACATTTTTATTTATACTAAAAAAAACACAGAGGATCAATGAAGCCAATCCTGCTGTATATTTTTGGTACGACTTTATTTAGCTTATTTACTAAATGAATCACTTTTAGAGTATCATAAAAAATAGTATGCCAAAATGGATTGCTGAATCGTGTCGACAGTATTACAGACACTTTGTGTCCTTCATGCCTCTGGCACTTATAAAGGCAATCTGATATAGCATAAAAATTAAGACATCTATAAAGGATTCTGGCGTGATAAAAAGACCCTATAATACTACTTATTTTACATAGCAGGAATACCTTAAAATACCCAATTAAGCTGTTTTAGGAACAGTTAATGTTAATCTATATCAGATTACAAGATGAAGGGGTCTAAGGTCTCAGCATAATGATAACATATAAAAGAAAACAGGGTGAAGGGGTCTGGAAGAGAAATCAGTATGGTAATATATTTGCTGTCTCAGGTCCCCTAAGGTTATCTACTTTACTAAAAATAGTCAATTTTTTGAAATGATTTTGTAATAATTTTAAAATACTACAAAAATACATTTAATACATCAAAATGTTTTTATTATATTTTTGTTATTATTTTGTAATTATATTGTATTTAGGTCTATAAAAATAACTCAAAATAATATCACAATAATTTTTTAATATTTTTGTTATTATTTTATTATTATAATATAATTAACTTTTATATTATTTTAATATTTTAATCTCAAAAATACCTTAAATATATCTTGATATATTTTAAAAATTTTACAAAATAATTGCACAATTGTTTTGAAAGCCATTGTATTTAGGTCTATAAAAATATTTCAAAAAATTGGCCATTTTTAGTAAAGTATATTGAGTCAGAATATTCCTCCAGAATATTATAAGATATAGATCAATTGCTTATTTTATAGAATTAAAGCTATTATTGTAGTAAATGAAAATAGAATTCAATGATAAATTTTTATTTAATTATGAGCTGCAAAAAGATTGGTACCTTACTCAAAAAGGAAAGGATTTATACCAAGAAAAATACCATATAATTAAAACAAGATGGGCTGAAAAAATATATATATTATAATGACTTTAAATAAACATTTTTACTAATATTTTTTTATCTTACTATGGATAGTTTCTCTACAAAATGAAGCAATACATTACTAACTGATAATGAAAAGTTGATGATAATTAATGTTTACAATTATTTTTTGGGAGCTAACTTTAAAAAGGATCAGGTCACATTACACAAGCATGTTGCTGAGGTGTTTGGGCATAGGGAAAGTACAGTTGAAAGGGTAGTTTCAAACTGAAAAAGCCATAGAGATAATACTTTTACACCACACAAAATGCTTGAATATCCTAAATTACAATTAAATAGTTAAATTTTCATTATATTGCTTTTTCTGATGAATTAAAAAAACCAGAACTTTTGAAGCTGGTTAAAATAAACAAAGAAAAGGTTCCATTTTCTTGTGTTAACATTGCAGAACAATATGAATATAAAGTTAATTTTACCCCTCCATACCATGATTGTGAACTCCAATCTATTGAAGGTGTTTAGTCAGTTGTAAAGGGTAAAGTCGCATGCTCAAGTTCACACCCAAACTTTTTATTTGTTAGAAATTCACTTTTAAATGTATTTACATAAAAATTTTTTTTATCAATACAATATTTGAGGTACCAATCTTTTTGCACCGACCCATAATGACTAAAGATGCAATAAATGTACTGTACTTAAATTTTTACTTTCACATTAATATGTATATAATTTTTTTCACTTTGAAAAAGGTCCGCATATCATTGATCGCCCTCTGTATAATACTGTATAATGAATAAAAAAGATTTTGACAAAATGTCACGGGTTTTCATATTTAGAATTAACATTTATAAATCATCAAATAAATTTTTCGTAAACGCAAAAAAATCTTATTTTTTAATAGTTTAATATACAAGGTGTACATGATTACTATTAGTATGAACCCTTTGGTAACCCGCGCGTGCGTTTGTCATTGCATCATCTCATTTGTTGGAGTTGTTGGTTCACATCAATCATCGGTTTTCGATATCTAAAATTTCTGACACGTCAAATGGGAAATAATCCATTTTTGGCATTTTTTTAGCCCCTGGATTTTTGATATAATAATCTTCATCGCTATAATATGGCCGTTTTTTGATTACATTATCAATCGAGGCATCGCCAATACCGTTAAGAACATTTTTCAACCTATTTTTTTCCCAAAAGTTGGGATTTGCATCTCCGGTAATGGCAAATGATGCCCGAGAGGAAAAAACGGGTCCAAAGTGTTTTTTAAAATCCTCTTTTGAAATTACCAAAACACCTGATTCATGCTTTTCCTTCTTATATGGTTGCGAAGTAAAAATAATTGTAATAAGAATATAATTATCATCATCATCAACAGCAGTATAAAAACTCTTTAGATTTTTCTCATCTTCTTCTTCAACTTTACTTTCGGGCATCTTTATTGAAACGTAATCCCATTTGCACTGGTTCGACATTAGGAATTTTTTAAATTCAATATGCACAAGTTTTCTGACAAGAAACACGTCAGCAAACGGAGCACTACTACCATTGATAACTACTACATTACCATTCTGCCAGTCTATTATTTTACCATCATGTTTTTCTGTTAATGGATTAGTGTGTGGAAATTGTTCATTTGCTTTACATACACAAAGGGGTTTCAATTCTACGCTCATATCAAAGTTAACATCCAACTCATCAGCATTGGGATATAATTCTCGTAATGTCATTGTAGTCTTTCCCATTTTTATCGCCAGATTAGTACGAAATGCTTCATGGTATGCCACAAACACCTCCCATTCTTCCCAATACATGCGTTCATCATAGAACTTTCTTACAAGTGTAGGTTTAACAATACACAGAACGTCATTATATAAACAGATAAAATAGAAGGGCATATTAATAAGGAACAAACTGCATCTGGCAGATTGTTCAACAGAGGAGAGAATAATATGTCTATCACGTTCTAGGCTTCTAATTGTAAGAGCTGGATTATTATCATCCAAACATTTATTAGGCTCAATAGCAATACCTTCAATGCAAAAATACATGAGCTTCATAGCAACATTTCTGTTCTTTTCAACATAGTCTCTTATGCCATACTGTTTATCGAGACTGTCCTTGACTTTGATGAAACAGTCCACAAAGTCAATATCTTTTTTTTCAAGTTTCTCGAAGAATCCTCTCCCCTGTTTACCATCTGCTCCAAAGCAGACAATAAAGAGTCGTTGAAGTGCGCGTGGCAACCCACCGGTATCCCTCAGAAGCTGAAGCATTTGGCGACAATATTTCCATTTATATGCATAGTTTGCAATTCCCGCATTGAATTTTTCTGCAAAATGATCCGTAATCCGAATAATGGATTTATCGTTCAATAATGGACAATCAACAAACTGGAATGAAATTCTTGAAGCTTCTTTTTGTTCAATGACAGCCAATGGAGCGGTCCCTGAAAGGAATGGTTGGACAAAGGCGGGTAAAGCGGATTTAAGCATAAATTCCGAAATATTATGGATCATATTATAGAAGAGTTTTGTTGGTGGATTCGACTTATCCTCTTTATCCCATGAATCAATAAGTTGAAATTCATCAATATGAAGATATAGGAAAAATAAGTGTTTATCGGATAGATTTAGGGCTTTACGAATTTCTCCGATAACAACATTAAAATGAAAATTATTAAAGCTGTCCCCATATTGTTCAAGTGCGATGCGGAATTCTTGAAACGTCATTCCATGTTCTTTTTCAATAAAAAACGCATGCGCAATTCGTAAGCCGATAATTATTGATGCATCTATGCCATAATCTTGTCGAGTAAGTCTGTGACCATTTCCGAAGTCAATACATAAGTATTCAAGATGTGTGTCAGTCCTTCTTCTGTCATGAGGAATTTTACGATCATTATAAATATTCTGAATATACTGAGGCATGTCTCTTCTGACTTGATTAAAAAGCTCCTGCCCAAATCGAGTTTTTCCTATTTACAAGATAATGAGTAACTGATACAAATTGTTTACTAGGAAAAGTACAAAGAAACAATACCTATCCCCGGGGCTCCTCCACTGACAAGACACCAGTAGTTCGATTTTCCATCTCGGCCCGTAATATTACTGTATATTGTCTCATTTATATAACCCATTGCCTCTTCGAAGTTACGTTATTGCAATGGCATGCTTAATACATCAGGCAAATTAGGTGTACCCTTTAATGCATTCTTTTTAATAACCTCAATAATTTCCTTAAATGAAAGAGATGCTAATCAAAAAAAAAATCAGGCAGAGAAATGAATGTAAATGATATAATCTATTTCTTGTTCGATTGGTAAAACGTTAAGAGACACTTACCAGCAGCAGCGGGCAATTGTACGATGACGTGAATGTTCTCATCTACAAGCAATTGTTCAAAAAAAACTTTCTTAACCGAGAATATGGGTATCAACTGCTCGCCTCCAAATTTTTCTATAATATCATCTTTGGTAGTAACATGTTTAAGTTTGTCTCTTTCACCGTAAGCGATGTCAACCTTCCAAAGGTCAATGTTCTTATAATTAAACTTAATATCATGATTAATCTCATTATAGACAAGAAACTTGAGGTCTGAAATCTTTAAATCATCAAATTTGACCAAAGAACCATGAATGTCGCTTTCTTTAGCAACGTTAACCACAAAAGTATCAACAAAAGAAGTCATTCCTAGGAGTAAACAATTTATTGACACCATCATTTCATTTGGGAGATAATTCTGTAAAAAAAAAGAATTTTTGTGTTTTTTAGTGTGAGAGAAATTTTGAGGATATATTTACTTGTAAAAACCTTTCCGAATTCATCATGATTAATAATAAAATAGACTTTTGATCAATTTTAGCTGCTGATGATGAATCTGTATCTAATTTTTGTTTTCTATTTATAGATGTATATCCAATTGCTAACATCTCCATATATTCTGATTTAACAGCTAGTGGTAATATGATCAGTACACAAAAAAAAATGATTAATACGGTTTTATTATTACTAATTAGGATTTTGATTCTCCGACGAATTCTCAGGGTATTTATTAAAAAAAGTGAATTAACAGTTACGCAAATTTTTCGGTCGTACGGGGTTGTATTTGACTAAGTATGGAAAAGACTTATGTACTAGGCTACTTTGCCTATTTCATACATGAGTTTTTTTATGGAATGAGAGATAAATTACGAATTGTGAGTATTGTATTACCAACTTAATATTTACCATAACTAGTATATATAATTTTCACTAAATCGGACTATCTTGTACAACTTAGTGCTTCGATGTGAAAGTTTTAATTAGTTTAAGGAACAATGGTGTCCTATTTTTAGAACAAGTTTTATAACCATTTACAGATAGAGTAATGAAATGGCGTCACTTTCTTAAACAAAGAAATGTAACAATGAGATATGAGCCGATATGGTATAAATGTTAAGTGAAAAAGTAAGAGATATAACAAAGGTACGCGTTTAGTTAAAGATAACATTATAATTCAGAGAAAAGAGAATAATAAGAAAGCGGTATTAAGAAAAGAGTTACTAGAAAGTTCAAAAAAAGAGAAAAATAAAGAATTTATTACGTGGAAAAAGAATGAAGATATAGTGTATAGTATCATGAATAAAAAATCTCGTAGTAAAGTTTATGATGAAGTAGGAAAGCATTTAATTGAATGTAAGGTTTATGGGACAAGATAATGATATCTCTGATTCCTCTTTTCTTAAAGATTGTAATGGTTGTGAATTCAATATAGGACGAAAGTTAAATACGGGGAAATACTTAATATATATAGAAAAAGATATTGCGATAATGATAAAAGGAAGAAAGGTGGCGTTAGAAAATGGTGATAGTGGGATGAAACCATATATGACAAAAGAAAATATAGGTAGAATGAATGATATTGTCGTAAACGAAAATGTTTATTTTAGATGTATCGCATCTAAACGAGTTCATATAACGTGAGAAATCTCACATCGCACAGAGTTGCAAATGTATGTATCTTTCTTATACGTGTACGACATACTATCTTACACGACCTATATTGTGTGACATATACGTCGTATAAGAACATAGCACCTGATCGTATAAGAACGATACATTTGCCACAGAGTTACTACTTTATTTTTTTTCCGGTCTGTAAAGCCACATTATCATTCGTACGACTGAAAAAATTACGTAACGTAATTCACCTTTTTTAATAAATACCCTGAGAATTCGTCAGAGAATCAAAATCTAATGAGTAATGATAAAACCACTGATAAATTACTTTTTTATTATGCTTATTAACTTTTTGCTGTATTACGTCACAACAAGCCACCAAAAGTTTATGCAAGAGTCTATCAGTCACGATGTATCCAGAAAAGTATATAAAGTATATATACAGTTCTCGAAAAAAGTAATCGGAATTGCAAAAAATGCAAAAAAATAAAAACCAGTGATTATAATAACTTCAAATTTCGAAGATTTGTTGCTAAATGTGTAAAGGTTATGAATATAAAATTTCAGCCTTATATCTTATTTCTTTGTCTCACAATCGATTTTTTAATTTGAAAAAAAATATCATTAAAAATTTAAGCAGGGTGTAAATTTTATAAAGATTTGATATTGTTCTCAAACATTTAATAAGATGCATGTATATTTGTAATAAAATATTATAAACATAAAAGAATATCTTTTATTAATTTATTAAAATTTTTTTTTGCCATTTAATTAATCAGTTTTTCAGTAAATTTGGATTAAAGTTGACTCAAAAATCATTAATAAAACTCAATTTTAAAAGCATTAAGCTTATTTGGATTGATATTTTTTCAAATAAATTAAATATTATTTATCTAATATTAATTAGATTTTATTATAATCCTTTATAATTATTATATTTTAAATCCAATTTTGCTTTTCAACTAATATTAAGGGTTAGGGCCGGTTGCTGATCAATACAGAAAATAAACTTTGATTTCAAATTTTTCAACAGCCAACAAATGATAAAGTGTGAAATTTTTTTTATTAGAATCAACATTATGTAAGCTTTATTTTATATCATCCAATCCTTAATAAACTACTATTTGAATGCTGTACCAGAATTTTTAGGATTTTATAGCTTAAATTTTTTATGACTTTTTTTTCTCAATTAAAAAATTGATTGAGAGACGAGGAAAAGAGATAAAGGGCTGAACTTTTATATGCATAATATTTACACATTTACCAATAAATTTGGAAATTTTGAAGTAATTTTAATCATTGGATTTTTATTTATTGCACTTTTTGTAATTCTGATTACTTTTTTCGAGAACTGTATATCTTAGATTTCTCTTAAACTTTCTCAAATTATCTTGAAAAGAACTTATCATTTTTACAGAAATAAAATGTTATTATCATTAAACTATTTGGTACTAGGACGAACTTCTAATGAAGTTATCACTATGTGCATTGGCGAATACTCTGAAATCAATGGTGTTCGAGTCAACTCTGATGTTTTGACCGTTGCAAACTTTAAAAACTTCTCCTTTGTGAAGAAGAACTTCAAGGGTTAACCAAAATGGATATTTGGAAAGTAGAACTCGACCTTAAGAGCTTTAAAGATACAATTTATACCGAAGATGAGATTAAAAAAATCGGCACGATGATGGAATCTGCATATGTACATAAAGAATATTTTAATGATGATCAAAAATCTAAGCCAAATTACATTCATATCTTTATAGTCCCCACTGGTAAGTGTCTCCCAATGGTTTGCCTCTTGAATAAGGAATTTGTAATGACAAAATTGGTCCTGGCTTGATTTTTGATATCTGTTGTTTCGTTAAATTTACAATATTTCATTATCTTTAGATACATCTACTGAAGTAAAAGATATATCTGATGATATAGTAAAAGAATTAGTTAAACCCCCTAGTAAATTGCCCGATAAGACTAGGAATTTCCTTAATCAAAAACCTGATGTGAAAATACCACTGCTAATTTTTCTCTGATGTATACTAAGGGTAATGGATGTACAGTATATCTGAAGAAGAACAAGATACTTATTTTGAAAAAAGTACAAATTTACAAAACTTATAGGACGTTTAATTTTTCCTTCTTCAGTTGGAAAGAACGAAGACTCATTTCATGGCTTTTGGGATGATATTATTAAAAATACGATATTAACTCTTGGAAAAGGTATTGTTAGTTTGGCAATAATGGCTTTCAATCGAAATATTAACAAAAAAACATTGGCAGGTAAATTTAAGAATGGTTAATTGTTTTTAGAGAATAAGAATAAAAAATATATTGTATATTGACAAAAAATTGCAATCTCCCTGACTTGATTATACTAGTGAGAAATATTTGTCCTTTTTGTAGGGAAGAAAAAAGTGGAAATTTCTACAGCAGATGTTTCAAAAGAATTAACTGATAAATTCAAAGAATGGACCTATGGGGATGCTCCATACCTCTTTGCGTATTATGCTATTGGTCAATTTGTCACTTTTGTTCTTTTGACTGAATCTGAATCTAAGAATATTAGGTCAATAATAAGAGAACATGTCCTGAAGTTAAACCTGAAACACTTGGCGATTTTAATTTAAGAGAACTTTCGGAAAGGCTTCGCGCTATGAATCTCCTTCAGAATATTTATAAGTACTAAGGTTGCTTGCCGAAACCTGTTTGGCCTAATGCCGAAAGGTGAAACCTCTTATATAGTGCCGAAACGCCGAAACGCCGAAACTGCGAAACCTGTCAAAATTGCGAAACTGCCGAAACATGCCGAAACCTCTATAATAGGTTTCTCCGTAGTTTCGGCATAGTTGATCATAAGATTTGCATATAGTTACGCCAAGTTACACCAATTAATAATATAATTTAGATGATCAAATAATCTACAGATAAAAGATTAAACTTCAATATTTTACCGTCGTCTTAGTTCTTTTAAGCTTTATCTAGTGTTAGAATTTTCATTTCTAACTCCCATA